GGGAATTGCCAAAAGGAGCTTTTTCTCGAACCCTTTTCATTTTTTTTCATTTTTTTCATGTTTTTTCGTTTTTTCTTCGTTTTGGTATTTTTTCCTTCCTTTTGCCTTTAAAATTGACCTAGGGAATTGCCAAAAAGGAGTTTTTTCTCGAACCCTTTTCATTTTTTTCATTTTTTTTTCGTTTTGGCATGTTTTCCTTCCTTCGCCTTTAAAATTGACCTAGGGAATTGCCAAAAGGAGCTTTTTCTCGAACCCTTTTCATTTTTTGTTCATTTTTTTTTCGTTTTGGCATTTTTTCCTTCCTTCGACCTCGGAAATTGCCAAAAGCAGCTTTTTCTCGAACCCTTTTCATTTTTTTTTCATTTTTTTTTCGTTTTGGCATTTTTTCCTTCCTTCGACCTCGGAAATTGCCAAAAGCAGCTTTTTCTCGAACCCTTTTCATTTTTTTTTCATTTTTTTTTCGTTTTGGCATTTTTTCCTTCCTTCGACCTCGGAAATTGCCAAAAGCAGCTTTTTCTCGAACCCTTTTCATTTTTTTTCATTTTTTTTTCATTTTTTTTTTGTTTTGGCATTTTTTCCTTCCTTCGACCTCGGAAATTGCCAAAAGGAGCTTTTTCTCGAACCCTTTTCATTTTTTTTTCATTTTTTTCCGTTTTTTTTTCATTTTTTTTTCATTTTTTTTCGTTTTTTTTCATTTCCTTTTTCATTTTCATTTTTTTTTCGTTTTTTTTCTCGTTTTTTTTTCATTTCATTTTTCATTTTCATTTTTTTTTGTTTTCTTTTTCATTTCGTTTTTCATTTTCATTTTTTTTCGTCCTCGTTTTCATTTCATTTTTCATTTTCATTTTTTTCGTTTTCCTTTTCATTACATTTTTAAATCTATTTTTTCGCGTTTGTTTTCATTTTTCGCGCAGTTTTAGGTATTTCTGACTTAATCAAAAACTTTATGTTTCTGATGTTGCTTCGATTCATTTTCGATGCTGAAGGACCACGCTCCTTGGAAAGCTGCGGCGAACCATCTCATGTTTTGTTGTTTCTCAGCTGGGCTTTGCGGCTTCCTTTCTGTTCCATTCAGCTCTTCGAATCGTGAAGAGCTAAGTGGTTTTGTCTGCGTGTTATACTCGCAAAGGTTGTTGTGATCACATGCTTGACTTTTCCTTGTCTCTTGCTACATGATCATCAACTTGCGTTTCAAATTCCAAAATTCTGCTGTAAATAGAGTTAGTTGACAATAAGAGTTAACCTGATGCGTACTTGTAACAGTCGTGAATTACGACCCCATAAGAATTGTGGTTGTGGCCGGAGCTTTTGCGTTTTCGACTTCGATGTTTTTCTTTGTGTATCTACTAATCTAGAAGGAACAAGTATGCACATGATACTATTAACTGCACATGAGGGAAACACGATAAACAAATGAGAATGACATTTCCGCATAATTGGGGAATGAAAAAAAAATGAAAATGAAAATTTCACATGATCGGAGAATGATATGAAACAGGAAAAAAAAATGAAAAACAAAATGAAAAAAAATGAAAAAATAATTCCTTGGTCCGGACTCAGTCTGTGGCTGTAAGATTCTCATAAGAATAGCAATGATCCACAAGTTGACCACGGGGAAACTGAGTCGTGTTCTGACCTTCAGGTGAAGGATGCCCAGTTTTCCACAAAATATGCGACAATACAGGACAATATCCACATGACTCCTATACTTTTTACACAAAATGCCAAGAAAGATGGGATCCATCGTGTTGAAGACCACCTCCAAAATTTCTCTCCAAATAACGGGTCTGTCTGAAAATAGTGGATATGATATGGGAATATATCGGATATCCATGTATATCCATTTTCATGATTTTTCATGGTCATAAAACTAGACAAAATAAACATCATGATCCTACACCATGGGATGGCATGGGGTACCCTCTTTTCTCCTCCTCTTCCCATGCAGACTTCTGAGCTTCGTCAGCTCCGCGCCGGGCACCTCCGATCGCCGCAAACAAAGACCAACAGACATGGATTTGGCGCGCAAAAATCGTGTCATTTAGCAAAGAGGGATTTAGCCAGCAAAAACCTGTTGAATCATCAAGAAAAGGTAAGAAAAGGAATTTAAGTTTGAGCAACCATTGCATTTCACAACCAGAATTGAAGCGGCTGACAATGGGTGTTGGTCCTGAATTTTGATCCATGCCCGGCCCTGCCCGGCCGCAGTTTCCATGGGTGGGTTCGCAATTGTAAACACACGGATTTGCCGTGATTTGCCTATTGAATTGGCATAAATCTTGGTATCTGTATCATGTATCCCCCATTTTCAGACCCACATGGTTCCTGGACCTTCAGCCTCCTGGTGACTTGTTCGTTGTTGTTTCTGGTCGTTGGGATTGTAGGAATAGCACTACAAGTGAGGCCTTGTAAATCGAGGCCTTGAAAATGAATGGTTTCCCTCCACCCAGCGGATTTTCTCAGTTTTGTTTTTCTAGCCTGATCTTCAACTTGGAGTCGTAAATCCATGTGGGTCCGGAACAAGATTTAAAACCCATTCTTCTGAGATCAAGAACGGAGAATGAGGTACAGTAAGCCCAACAATAAAGCATCCCCGATTGGCGCCCGAGGTTTATGAAATTGGGTATGCCCCTGTGTCCGATGATGTACCATGATCCCCTTTAATGGTTTGTCGGATGGTCTTCCCCCGTGTGTTTCATGGCTGGAGCTATCTTCAACAGCGTCCCTGGGGTCCCTGACCTGTCTCCGAGGGGTCAAAGTGCGCACCTTTCAAGCGCAAAAAAAGCCCGGTCTTCAATGGAATTGCGGCTTCGCAAAAGGCACCCGTCTGGGATTACGGGTGGGGCAGATTAATATCAAACTCTTTTTAAACACTCCCACAGTTTAGTGAGCCGTGGCTGCATCAGGGGTTGACAGTGTCAATATGTATCAATCATTTTGTGAATTTGGGATGGAATAATTATATAGTTCGCCATGTAACGCCCTGATTTTCGGTTTTCACACCAAAATATACCTAGGATTTTGGGATGTTCATCTTTTGAAATAGGGTATTCAAATGTATAACTGCAGTTCATGTATAAATAACATTTAAAGGTATTGATCCACAGATCTATCCGTAGCCACCGTTTCGTGTCGAACTTCACCTCTCAAATCTTCGGATCCATGCTGGACCCAACAGAACGATTCTAGATGTTTGATATTGTTTAATGATGAAGCCAATATTCTACAAGTAGATGTTTAATGATGTGTATATTTATAATAGATTTATAATAGACTTCTATGGATTCTACATGTTTAATGATGATTAATCCCACATAAATAGATTAATCCATATATATATATATATGATGATGATGATGTGTAATCTATAGATCTAACAGTATGTTTAATCTGTAGATCTAACAGTATGTTTCTTCCCAAATTTAGATGTTCCATAGATTTTTATAGATTAATTTCTATCATTTCTATATAATAATCACTTTACTGCATGGTATAGATCATTCTAAAAGAGCTAAAATATCAGCGTACATCATTACTTGTACATAATTTATAAGTTCTATTGTTCCCATTGTTATATTCTATTGTTACATACTCTTTTGTTCTATATAATTTCTATAATTTCTATATAAATCTATATAATGATGTATAAGAGTCGCTATAAATCTATATATATATAAATCTATATAAATCTATATAAATTTCATCCCACCGATGTTCCCATCCCACATCGGCCTTTGTGAGCCATCACCGGTCGGCAACGATCGGCAAACCGATCCACCGAGGCACCGGAGGCACCACGGTGGAAAGCGTGCTGTGGCGACAGATGGTGGTCGTGTTTACGAGTCAATCATCGAACATCGTGATAGGACTAAGTATGTATGTACATATAATATATATATAATGATATATACATATATAATTTAATAAACTAAAATATAATATAATACAATATAATATAATATAATAAAATATAATATAACATAATATAACATAACTATAATATATATAACATAACTATAATATATATGGATTTAACGATTTATAGATATATTTTTTACCAGTAACATGAGCCACAACATCCGACAACGGTTGGTGTTCAATGTTGGAAGTTGGTTTGGCCAACCTGAAAACACATGATGGTTGCTAAATGTTGCCAAGTCTCCAATCGACAAATTTGGCCAGAGAATATGTCTCTATTTTGACCTCTGTCAGTTCCACATTTTAAATCTATGATTGTGGCTTCACATTTGAGCCTGGGACCGCTGAAATCACGGCAGATGCATTGCAGTTTCCCACCGGTCCCGGCAGTTCCAGGAGAGTTTTGCGGAAAAACCGGAGTGATTTGACAGAAATGCGGTCCCCTAGAACATGATCATCAAAATCCCGGAAGCACCCGAAACGGTCCAGCTCGCTGGTGTTGTGTGGTGCAGAAACTGATGGATGTGGGTCCCTGCTGATGCCTGCTGTTCGATGCTTTTCGGGGTGTTCAAAGTTGACCACCGGTAGAGTTTTCAGGGAAACTCAACATGTCCGGCTCCCTTCGACTGCCTGGAAGTACCCTCTGGTAAACTAACATAACTATGGAAAATCACCATTTTTATGGGAAAATCAACTATTTCTATGGCCTTTTTTAATAGCTATGTTAGTTTACCAGAGGGTACCAAACTGGTTTGTGTTCCAATTTCCACATCAATGATGTCCTGAAATTGCAAAAGAGTGCAAAAGATTGGCTTGGGTGCAGTAGCTGGTCGCTATCATTTGCCATCATACACCTTCAGTATATGTACATCATATGTACATTATATAATGATGTACATTATAAATTATACATCTATATTCACATATGTATATTATAGTTGTGTTTCATGTTTTTCCTGTACATAAGCTATATAATTATACAGGTATAATTATAGGCCCACATGCTATTCTAATATTTTTTGTATGATGATTCGATGATTCACTACCAGGGCTTACCCTCCGTTCTCATCAACCCATGTCACTTTCTCACTTTCTTCAGCGCATCTCATTGGGTTTGGGCTTCGCGTCTCTCTGAACCTGCGCACGGGGTCGCCGAAGCTTCGCCACAGGGCGTCCCTTGCGAAAGGGTTGCTACCCAACCAACTATTCACTGGATTGGTTGAACGGAAAATCTACCCTCTGGTAAGCTAACATAGTTATGGAAAATCACCATCTTCAATAGGTAAATCAAATATAAATGGACCATTTTCAATAGCTATGTTAAATTACCAGAGGGTACAGGAACCATGGTTGCCATATGTAAATGAACTATAAATGGTCATTTTCAATGGCAAACTGTTGAATTACCAGAAGGTAAACACCATTAAAATTGAAATCTGGCCTGGCTGCACTTTTTCCTTGGCCGACCAACATCCATCAACCTCTTGCTGATTAGGTTCAATAACTGTGTTTGGCAGTTAAGGGATTGAGCCTTCAGGAACCTTCAGGAGCTACAAAAATTCACAGCTCGAGGTGGCAACATGGCAACAAAGTGGCCCCTGCAAATCCCATGAAATGCGATTTGCAACTGCCAGGTTCAAGACAACATCGTGATATCTACATATATATAATAATAATATATATATATATTATTATATATAATATATTATAGTCTGAACAGTGGCCACTGGCGGATGAAAAATCCTTGCCAGCCATCGAACATTCGCTAGGCCGCTAGGCTGCCTGCGGCTCCAAGGGCTCCAGTCTCTGCCGCACTTGCAGCAACAACTGCTTGGCGGCCCATTTTACCTGGTTCCAGGATGCTCCAAGCGGACACCCCACGGCATGCCCTTTGAAGAAATCTGGCTGATGATCTTTTTGTGTTCCATCTTTTTGTACTGTTTTTATGGATATTTCTTTGGAAAATTCATGGATTCTAATTAGTATATGGACTAGATAGACTTTATACATGGAATTGAATCATCCATTGACCCACCATTGATGATCACTTGGATGTGCATCCCACGAATCGCAACTAAATACAACAAACCGCAGAAACCAAAAACTGGGGATGTTCATTTTAAAATCCTATGTTGTGTGGATTTTTAAAGCCTGGGTGGGGATATGGATTATGATTTTTTTTGGTGGGTTACACTCACTCTTATATACCGTGATCCATGGTTAACCACTATGCCTGGGGTCACCGCAGAGGGTATCTTTCCACCGCCTCCAAGTCTTCGAGTTTCCGCAACCGTTCTTCGAAGTCCTTTTTCTTCGCCTCCTGGCGAAAGCTGGACAATCAAAGACGGAAATGGATGGAACATGTCATCTAATGGGAAAATCATTGAGAAATTGCAGAACAAAATGTTGATTTTGTTGCTTGCCATGTTTGATTGCTGGAACTATAATATGATCTCTGGCGATTTGTGGTTGCGACTCGTTTGGTTTGCATCAAAATGCATGGTTTTATCATCGTCCTTGAACACATGTATCCAAACCCATCAAAATTGGTGGTTGAATCATAAATGGGTACCCAAAAACATGGTGACGGCGCCTGTAAGAGGCCGTGTTTTTATGCTCATTGCATTTGCACCGATGAAATCAATTGCTTCAAAAACCCAAGGTTTTTGCACATTCTGATTGAAGTCCATCATGAATCTAGAGAATAAAACACTGTAAGGCTGACCGGGGACATGCGTTTTTGGAACCCCTCACAGCATTTTCATCACTTTTTTAACTCTTTGCCGGCGCGCCTGAAGTTTCAAGTGCTTTTTTTTCGGCACTCTTCTGCCAAAGGTATTTACGTAATGCATGATGAACATACTTACCTGAGAAACCTGTAATGAAACCATGTTCAAGTGACACATATGTGTGGAATTAAGCATTAGATGCATGTAGAAAACTACACCTTGGGTAAATATCTTTAAATCAAAGAAAGAACTTGCTAACACACCCCCAACAGCCCCCAGCGACCGCAACGTAGCATGACAAGAGTGCGCAAGTGCAAAAGAAGAGCTTGTGAACGTAGCATCACGTAGTTGTATACCTTGAAGGGACCGTGCAGTAGCGTAGCATCACGTAGTTGTATAACTTGAAGAGAACGTGCAGTAGCGTAGCATCACGTAGTTGTATACCTTGAAGAGAACGTGCAGTAGCGTAGCATCACGTAGTTGTATACCTTGAAGAGAACGTGCAGTAGCGTAGCATCACGTAGTTGTATACCTTGAAGAGAACATGCAGTAGCGTAGCATCACGTAGTTGTATACCTTGACGAGAACGTGCAGTAGCGTAGCATCACGTAGTTGTATACCTTGAAGAGAACGTGCAGTAGCGTAGCATCACGTAGTTGTATACCTTGAAGAGAACGTGCAGTAGCGTAGCATCACGTAGTTGTATACCTTGACGAGAACGTGCAGTAGCGTAGCATCACGTAGTTGTATACCTTGAAGAGAACGTGCAGTAGCGTAGCATCACGTAGTTGTATACCTTGAAGAGAACGTGCAGTAGCGTAGCATCACGTAAGTGTGCAAGTCCCATGAACGTTAACATCCCCCACCCCACCCCCCCACCCCACCCACCCCCCAACGAACCGTAAAAGACGAGACAGGAAAAATGACGTACGCGCACGGCCTCTTAGAGGCGCCGTCACCAAAAGCATGAGGTTCTTGTTGGTTTCTAGCGGAGGTTTGCAACAAAAACCTTAGAGATACAACCAAAGCGATCACATTTATGCGTGGGAACAGGGGTCGAACTGTCCCTTTGGAATTAATGATATATACCAATAACATTTGGGATTGTCCAGGTCATAAGCATTTACTATATCGGAATGTCAGGGAAACTGATCGAAATCTGCAAAAAAACATTGGAAAAACCGAGCCCCCAGCGGCCCAGCGAAAAACATCAAACAGAATTTGCCTCCTCGTCTTCCAATTTTGCCAATTCTTGTTGCACCTCCACATTCCTGCGCCAGAAAGATGTGAATCTTAAACCGATAGCGGCCTCAATCTTCCCTGGCTCATTTCAAAAGCTATCCACCCAAAAGGCCGAAAGGGCGAGGATAGTCACGGTCATATTCTCCAAATGCACCCAAACATTCACCAACAACAGCAATGTAAATTGTCATCGAATGTCGATTTGACAACGACGACCACCGCCACCACCACAACAACTTACTACTACTGCTGCTACTACTGCTACAACTGCTACAACTGCTACAACTGCACCAACAGCACCAACAGCACCAACAGCATCATGATCATCATGTTTGAGGATCTTCGCCATCAGCTCGTGCTGGTCATTAGCCTATATAAAAACCATGTCACGTTACTAACCACCTGGAACCACGCACTGTGGGGCTGCACTGCGTGGCTCCATATCACAAGCCATTCCCCGTGATACCCCCACGGAAAAAATTGGAACTTGCACTCACAAAGCTCTTTGGCCACCCCAGATTAAAACAGCGCCTCAAGTCCGAAAAACTATTAATATATATATATATATATATTAATATTTATACATACTCACTAGATATTATATTATATATATATATCTTAAATATGTTATATATAAATTTTATAAATCATAAAACGAGTTCGCTCAAATGGCCCAGCATCTTCCACCTCCATGGCCCACCTCACCAGTTGCTGGCAGAGCCGCTGGCAGTTGCTGGCACTCAGGGCTGAGGAGGAGGCCTCAACCATCAAGCGATTCGCCTCCTGGGCGCAGAAGTGATTGGTGCGTTTGCGTATGGCTACAGTTACTAGTTAGTTACTCGTACAATGTCATAAGTGATGATGTGGTGAAAAAAAACATGCCACAATGCCACAATGCCACCACCCATGACTGGGAATGGTTCAATTATACCACCTATTGATGGTGATAACTTTATATGTTTCCCCTTTTTAGCATCAGAATTGGTTGTGATACTGTGGATGGTTGAGAAATCCGAATCACCAGTTGATAGATGGTAAACATCCCATTGTTTATAGGGTTTCAACATGTTTCAACCATCCAAGGTGGTGCAGGATTTCGCAACCATCCACAGTATGTTGTGCTTGGGGCCATCCACCTTGTCAAGGCCGCAGAGCTCCAGCTGGGCCATGATTTTCCGCCGCTTCCTTCAGCGAAGGCCCGAAACATCTTATGGCAGTTTTAGGCTGAATCTACTATGTATATAACTGTATATATAATATATATGTATGTATGTACAGGTACATATACTGTATATATATATACTGTATATATAATATATGATAATATATGTATGTTGATATATGTTATTATAGATGTATATATATATAAATATACATATATATATATTATATTGTATAATATATATAACTGATTATGACTGAATATAACTGCATATCTATGCAAATGAATCAAGAATATTCAAGAATGATATGATGTCCTTACAATTCCGTACATGCATTTCTCTATAATATACTTGGTTCGCAAAAAATGCTACCCATCATCTGGGGAGAAATGAACACGGGATTTTGGAGTTCCACATTGGCGATGACCCCCATTTCTGTATGGTTTCCAACGTTTGGTGATTTGGTTTGGTGATGAATGGATTGCTGAAGATGCCAAACCTTAGTGCACTCTTTTTAAGTGACTCTTTTTCTGACTCATACCCTCTGGTAAACCTTTACATAACTATGGAACATCACCATTTTATAGCTGGGTAAATCAACTATTTCTATGGCCATTTTCAATAGCGATACCTGGTCTCCTAGCGTTGCAACTCATTGAGCCACCAGCCAGAAAAGCTCTTTGTCCCAGCGTCTCAGCTCGCTTTTCGGCCCCTGAGAGGTTGCCGTTGCCCTCCACTGAGTCGATCGCCATGATCAGAGGGGCACTCAATTCTGTCAATTATTATACTGACTATACACTGACTAGTTGATGGTTTCATTCCCTCTGAAAAATATGAGTTCGTCAGATTGGATCATCATCCCAGCTATTGGGGAAAATAAAAGCCATGTTCCAAACCACCAACCAGGTGATTATATCTTAATTGACATGGATGAAACATATTAAAAAATCATCAACGTGTATTACAAGGGTGCATTTGGATGTTCATAAATTTCATGACCGACCTCCCAACTGCCAGCCTATTTTGAGCGAGGCACCAGGCAGGCGTCGTGTGGGAAAAGCTGCAGCAAAACATCGAACGGAAAATGCCGCAACTGATCGCGACCCACCACACCAGGCCATTGTTCAAGTGGGTGGGCCATAGACAAAAGAAGGGCAGGGAGACTTGAGCAATGGAACATGTCAGCCAATCATGGTGATAAAAATCGATGCTCCAAGCTGACATGTAAACGGCACTTTCATGGTCTGACATGAATTCTGTTCTAGAACTCACATCATGACCGACCTCCCAACTGCCAGCCTATTTTGAGCGAGGCACCAGGCAGGCGTCGTGTGGGAAAAGCTGCAGCAAAACATCGAACGGAAAATGCCGCAACTGATCGCGACCCACCACATGGCCTGATGTTCCTCCAACAGGTTTAAACTGGCGGTGCGCCGAAAAAGAAACAAACACCAGAAAAACAAAGCAAAACAAAACAAAAACAGAGCAGCAACAAAACCAACAACAAAGCCAAACAAGGAACCACGACTAAAAATAATAATGGGAGGTGTGCCAATTATACATGTTGTAGGCAGCGTCAATGAGGAGTTTAGCACCCTCATGACAAAAGGCCGGAGGATAAGGCTGTGCCAAGTGTGTCCACAACTGTTTTGAGACTGGATCCTGCCCTTTAAGGATGATGTGAAACCTACCCGTGCGGCTGCACCGACCCCCATGGCCGTGACAACAGCGCTGCAAGGCAGGATGCTCAGGGCAATGCCAAGTCTGTACACGTGTTCTCTTGCGCCAGCGGGACCCATGTTGACAAAAATCGGTCACAAAAGAACGAGACGAATCAAAACCACAAACTCTACGAATGGGGGGAATATCCCAAATCATAGAACAAGCCGGGTTTTCAAAACAACAAGGGATCCCAAAGTTGTGACACAGCTGGATAATACGCGCAGTAAATCGCATTGTGTTGTTGCCCAGTTGGATCTTCTGATGATCATGAGAACACAACCCAGGAATACCGAAAAGATTGGATTTGTTGCGAAGAGGACCCCAGGAAGAACCAACTGGGCCGTGCCGAGCGCGACTCCAAGAAGGGCAAGGAGTTGCCAGCCAAATGCCATGAATGCAGTTGCTACGAATCCATCCTTCAATGATTTTAAACAGCTCAGGATCACACAAATCAAACCTGGAATCAATGGAAATGTCAACAGAAACACAACCGTACCCCCTAGCTCTGAGTTTCTTTGAAATGCCACCGTCACCACAGAAAAGATCGAGAAAAACTTTGCGGCTGCCACGACCACAACTCTTAACAGCTTCACGAAAAGCACCCTTCAAAAGATCACCGCTACTAACTTTAGGACCACACCTAAGAGGCAAGCGGCTTTGGAGATAAGCCCTAACACCATCAAAAGTTTTCACAGTGGTCTTGGCAGCTTTTGCTTTCTTGAGCATCCGTTTGGTGATTTGGCAATTCCACTCGGTGGTGCTGGGGTTTTGATCACTTTTGACAAAATGGATGGAAGATCTGCAAGGATGTTCATTCCGAACTGGCGCAATTCGATCGGCACTTTGGCCAACTCGGTCTGAAGTCTGGCGAGCTTGATGTACCGCTTGAGAGATGTGTCCGACCCCCAACGGCCTCGTTGCTTCACCTCCAAGACCGTTCGTCGTCTCGTGAGGATGTCGTGAGTGGCCCCCCCATGGCGAAGGGTGTACAGGCAGCTGTTCAAATGCTCGAGATTCATCATCTTTTGAGCTAAGGCAAACTGATCTACCAACATTGAATGAGGATGGGACCACAAACTCTCTTCGGGATCCCGTCCCGCAATCAGTTGATAAAGCAAAGGATTTATCCAACGGTCGCTGTCCAACACCACCGAAGCATCGAAGAGGCCGGTCTTGCCCGGCACCGTGTCTTCGAATGGATGCAGGAGGATGGCGAAGTGATCGAACCGATTTCCTGCGGTTCCCTGAGGGCACACTAACTGCTTCACTTTGAGGTTTGAGCACTCCCCAGGTCTCATATAGGTCAGGAACTGGATAAATAGCCGCAGTGCTAGCTGATGAAGATCTCTCTGGCAAAGGTTCCCCATGATTGCACCCAGCACTTCCACAGGCAGTGGGAGACGTTGCTGACCTGGGGCGGCCAAACCCCAGCCCTTGAGAGCTCGCATAGTTCGCGGGAGACTTCCTGCAGAAGGTTTCCCCAACCCTGGTCTGAAGAACCGAACCGCAGCGTGAATCCTCACGCCTTGGTCGATCCCCAGGCCTGCGTTGAAGAGCTCCTGGATGTATTCCACTAATGCGATGTCCAGATTGGAGGGAGAGTCCAGGAGGAGCTGAGATCTCTGGGACCACGCCAAGAACTTCTCCATCCTCATCTGGTAATCTCTCAAAGTTGGGGCTCGAACACTTCTCGCTTCCAGATACGTCATGCCGGGCGGCACGTGGGTCTTTTCTGCAACTTTCAGCTGTCGGCAAAGTCGTGCCTTTTGCTTTCCTTCCCCTTGGTGCTTTGACATCATGATCAAATGCGCAGGGATTGTCAAAGTCAAGCCCCAAGTGAGGCTCCTTTCGGAAGTCGCCCCACCAGCGCTCAAGACCAGCAGCCTGCCATGAGTTGACAGCACGTGAGGGTCGGTCTGCAACGTTGAGTTCGGAAACAACCCACCTCGTAGCAATTTTTGAGCCAGTGACCAAACAAAGTGCAGCAATGCGACGAAGAGGACGAAGCAAATGCCCCGACTTTGCACGCCCTTTGATGCACCCTAAGACAACCGGCATATTGTCACATAAGCATAACAACCTCTTTCCAATACACCTATTGGCCCTGAGGAGGTGTTCAATGGACCACGCAAGTGCTCTGGCTTCAGTGTTGAGAATATTGGCTTTGAATTGCCATGGCCTAGACCACACAACTGACCAATCCTTTGGGTTGAGAATTTCTTTGGGAACCTCATCAAAACCTTGATCAAGGATGAAGGTGCTGATGGGCTGCCCATCGTCCTCACCAGTTTTGTCATGGCGATCACGGCCATAGTCATCATCGCCGCACTCCAAGGCACGTTTACGGGCCGACATGGCCTCCTCAAACTTGTAGCGCCAACGCTCGCTCTGGGAACCGATCTCTGAAACAGTGGCAGTATCGAGCTTTCTGGCACAAACCCCAATACCAAACGTAGAGGAATCAGAGGCAGTGACATCTTCACCCCAACCACAGTTAATTCTCATTCTGAACAGAGGTAAAAGAGATCGTACCCAGTCTAGCTCTTGACGCACGCTAGGCCAAAGGCGACCAGATTTTTGACCAAAATGGTGGATAAAAGCATAACAGCTGTTGAGAATAGACAATCCTTCACGCCGTGTCATCATGGCCCAAGTGCAATGTCCAACTAACAGCTGTAAGGTGTGACCTGAACAGAACTGATTAGAGAGAAGCTCGTCAATGGCGCACTTAATGTTACGGAGCCGTTTGGGGGCTATAGAAACAAAACCAGAACGATCATCAAAATGGAGCCCAATAAAAGATCCAACATGTTGAGCTTCTTCCTCTTCATGCACGGTCAAACCAAGGCATCTCAGATGTTCACTGATCTTCGCAAGGCCTTGATTCACGGCGCGGGGACAAGTGCCGATGACCCCAAAATTGTCCACATACCCAGCAACAGCAATGTCACTTCCACCATGTAATTGGACTCCGGTGCGCTTGTCACCAATGATCTGTCTCCCTACAATACCAGATGACTCGATTGCATGCATGAGAACTTTCTGGCAAAAATGAAGAGCCCAGGACCACCCCATAGGAAGAATGGTTAGGTATGGCAATGCTTGGGACCCAGGCTGCAATCCAGCGGACGCCAAGACGTCACTCTCCAGAAAGTCAACCTTGATCCGCGGCAAAGTGAACCGCTGAGCAAGTTCAGGGGGGACAGCAAGGGTATAGAAGGCGTTGGCGAGATCACCAGATCCAATGTAAAACTGCTCGTCATTAGGGACTTCAATGCGAGTGAAAGCATCTGCAGAAGGAAGGTCAGTCTTGGGAGGAACAACAAAGTCACGATTCATCACCCGAGTGTCAAAAATGAGACGGAGTTGTCCACTTTTCTTCCGAACAAAGAAAATACCAAGAACACCCTCTTCCCCATTGGCAGGCCTAAATTGAACCATGTTACGTCTGTAAAGCTCGCCCAAAAATTTCCCATACGCTTTCTTGTCATGTTTGAGAACAGGATCAACATAAGTCTTGATGTCGTCACTGTCAACTGCATCCCTAACCAGCATATGCTTGTGCCAGGACCCTAGCCATTCACGGTCGGCGGCAGATAGGCAATCTTCCAGAGGAACCGGAGTATTGGCAACCTGCGGCCAAGAGATGTTTCCCTCGGCATAGGGCATGACTTCACTCTTGCCAGTGTTGTACAAGCGAGAGGATGAACAAAGTCCATGAAGCCCGTCACAATCAGCAAAGCATGAATAATCAGGATAAACCGATTGGTAAGCATCACGAACTAAGTTGAGAACTCGGCGTTGCGCTCGAGTGGTTTTCTTTGATTTCGAAAATTGAAAAGATGAACACCCAGCAAGTTCATTGAGTGCTTTGATCCCTTGGTTGGCAAATGGTTTCCAGAAATCTGATCCCTGGCCTCCACAACCCTCCTCGGAGATCTCGGGCAAAGGGAGGAGATTACGCGGACGTTCAAATTCCGCACCCCCCGCATTGACACCTTGAAGAAAAAACAAAACTGTCATGAGCAGAGTGAGCCACCATGAACCCAACAGGGATGACGAAGACCTCAATGGTCCATGGCAACCCGATGACATCCACGGCCCTACTTCTCTTTCTCGGCCTTGTCGGCTTTGCGGGAGAGAGCACGCTCTTCCCGTGCTTTGCGACGTTCTTTGGCTATGGACGCCTCCTTTTGCATTTCTGCTCCGATCCACTCTGAAAGCTTTGGGGATATGACAGTCCCCACACGGCTGCCCCCTGAGCTTCCTAAGAACAAGGAGGCTTCGCCAGCATCCTCTGCAGCCACCAACTTCATCTTGTGCTGCTCCTCGATGCGCTGAATCCCACGCACAACAAGTTCTGCAGCAGCAATGTTGGCAACATCGAGCTGATCGTAGACCACCATGGTTTGGAGGATCCTGCAAAGCATCTCGTGGTCCTGGGCAGGCTTGTCGGATGGCTGGAGCTTGCACGCGGTGCGCCAAGCTTGTGAATGCATGGGCAATGGGAGATCCACCATGTTCCACGATCTTCGAGAGGACATACAACACCGTTCGCGGCCCAGCAACTGGCCAATCGTTGAAGCTGATCTCTTTGCACTCCAGGGATGCCAGTCTGAACTCCTTGAAGCGGTTCCCAGAAGCATCCCTGGTGATGCCCAAGGTTCTGGCGTCCTCCTGATCGATGTCCATGCCCCCAAGCCCAAGCCCAAGCCCGGCAGCTCCTGCGCCAGGGTTGGCATTGCCTAGAACTCCTCCAGCAAGTGCAGGGGCAACATTGCCGCCTCCCCCAATTGCTGCGGGAGCGGCGCCAACTGCTCCACCTCCTGCTCCCCCGCCTGCCAAGTTTGGCGGACCAGCTGCAACCACAGCATCCGCAGCCGGAGCGACTGCTGGAGCGGCGGCAACTGGCTGAAGGGGTAGACCACGCTGAAGACGTTCGTGCGCGGCATAGACATCGCCTTCCTGTAGCAGGCGAGGCATTGCACCCGGATCGGGGGCGGGGTTGAAGCAATGGGTTCGATTTGGATCTACTCCAAAAGGGAAACTTCCAAAGGGCTCTCCTAATCTCCATGCTGAAATGTCTTGACTCCCAGACCCCAGGTCTTCTGAGTAGAGATCGCCGTCGGGTGTCAATATCACCCATTCTCCTCCAGTGACATGTGAAAGTGCTAGGCGCTGATGCCATAAGTCTTCTCCAGGGATATCGTACTGCACAAAGATGTATTTACCCTTGAGCTGGTCGATATGCTGCTGAGGACCCAAGAGCGGGGCGCCGGCCATCCACCACAGTCTTTGCCGGTGAGCGAATATCTGAAGACCAATGGCGGAACCACCAATTCCAAATGCACACAAGAATGATGAGCCCAATCAAGATCAAAAGAAGAGCCGATGATAATTCAATGTGGCCAGTGGTGCAGACAACCTGGGGGCAAGAAATCGACCCGCAGCTCAAAGCACAGGCTGGGCAGACTGGTTCAACAGGTCCACCCCGAAGCCAGACACTAATGGCTGCACCGATCCCGACCGCCACAGCGTGTGATGCTAAAGGACTACTCTGCATTTCAGACTTGAGCAATGGAACATGTCAGCCAATCATGGTGATAAAAATCGATGCTCCAAGCTGACATGTAAACGGCACTTTCATGGTCTGACATGAATTCTGTTCTAGAACTCACATGGGGGTTAGTTGGCTGGTCTCTTCGCCAGCTCTCCCAAATGTTGAGATCATGGCTATCTTTGAGCCTCAACTGCACGCGCAAGAACACACATGCCACAAGGGATGCCACAAGAGTTTTTTATGGTTTTTTCATACCTTCGCACCCCAGGAAGACCGCCATTTTCTGTTGGGATTCCCCCAGTTTTTGGATACAAAGTGACTACCCCTGACCCCTTTTCTGGCAAAAAACCATCCATTGCCATGGCTCTGGCCACGCAGTCGGCAATGAAACGCTGCGATTCCAAAGGTGCACCAGTTCTATCATGTTCCATGGCATGACAGAGGAAACAAAGTCTAGCTGGAACAATTCAACAACCAGAAGAAGTGCACCCGCAGAAATCATCCACTGCAGCTGGCTGCCATGTTTCACATGACATCCTGCGCCATCGACGATTAACCTCGAGATGAACTCCGCAAAATTCAGCGGATCATCTGCATAAGACTTTGGGGTTCCACCCCACTCGTTCGCGCGGGTATTGCCGCGCGTACGAACGTGGGCGAGCCCCAGGCACAGTTTGGGGGTGAGTGTCAGATGCTAAAGGATGTGCAGATGTTAAAGGTCATGAAGTTGTTGTTTTTCCCCTGGAAACCTTTCAACACCCATTGTTCAATTCAAAAAGAAAGAAAATCCTTCCGCAAGGTCTTGAAGTTACCAGTGCCCTTGATGACATGAAAAGTTCACGGCACTACAGGACAGCCAGGGCCGAAGCATTGCATCGCTCAGACGTCTTCTCCTCTCCAGTTGTGATTGCTGATTTAACCGCAGGTGCACCACCGCGGAGTTTGGGTAATCCACGAACTTGAGGACAAACTGAGGATAATTGCTGATATGGATAATAGATTAGACAGACATTGATTGAGCATTGTTGTATGACAACCATGGATAAACCAATGGACTGACTCATGGTTTTGGGGTACGAATTCGTCAACAAAACTGGAGATTCAACATGGCTTTCACCAACAAAGAGAAGGCCAAAACAAACAAAACAAACTAGTTAAACTGACCAGAAAATCACTTCCGAAGATTTGGAGGGGGGAATGTTGGCAACAACGTTGGGGATTCTTGGGAAGCACGTGTTCGAACATTTCTTGGGGAATTCTATTTGTTGGAAGTAAGTGGTTTCAATAGCCTCCACCGCCCCACCTCCGACCACAGCAAAGACCTGAGCTGGTGACATTGCCGTGTTAAATGGGGATGTGCAACTTCAAAATTTATTTAAGATCCTATCTGATCCAATCGAATCAAATCTGATCTAGTCTATTCATTTCTATAATTACATGTCAATCTTATCTGACCTATATATCTACCTATCTACCTATCTACCTGCCTACCTATCTAGCTGGCTATCTATATCCGAGCACGTTTTTGTTTACGATCTGATGATCGGTCTATCTGTGGTCCCAAAGTGGCGTAAATTTGGCCCAGACACATGTGGCTATGAAATGGAGCAAATCCAAGATGGAGATTAAACCACCTAATATACCCTCTGGTTATTTAACATAGCCATGAAATGGCCCATTTATAGATGGTTTACCTATTATAAATGGTGATTTTCCATGGCTATGTTAAATAACCAGATGGTAATCCTCAAAGATGCGGACGTGTCAGCGAAAATCATCAGGACAGAGCATAGAACACCCATGGTCCGGTAGATCAATCAGCTTTCCATTGGCTGATCTGTTTGGGGCATGCTTTCAAAGCCAGGATTTCAAAAACCCAGTGAACCCAACGATTGCATACATTTGGGGTGGCTTTAGTCCATGAAGTATGGTCCAAAATCCAAGCACCAGTCAGGATTTGCGACGAATCCCTTCTCAGGTGCCTTTTTCAAGTGGTCAGTGGCCACGATTTGCAAATTCTCTGGGGTAAGCTCCTTATATCTTGTACCCAATCGTATGAGACACCCCCCCATCATGCGCCCCCCAAGTCATGAATGGGTCCAATACATTGCACCCTTTGGGGGTTCCGAAATTGATGGTTGGTAGTGACGAGATACGTTGTCCATCACCTGTGCCAAGGTAGGCCCGATGGGAATGGGATGAGGATGATGTTATGGGGGAGCATCATGTTAAACTCACCAGCTCACTTAGACGCTCTCATGACTTATCAACCACTCAACCTCTGAGTCCATGTGGATATAGACGCTCTCATGTTGCTTCTCCAAGGACCTCTTCAAGGATACCTGTTTGACTCTTGCCCTGCTGTAAATTACCCTGGTCGGCAGGAATTCTGCAGCTGAATCTGAGGAGGACAAATCTGTGGAACAGTACCATTGAAAAGCCCAATTGCCGATTCTTTCTGAATCACCATGTTCAAAATTGGGGACCCAATTTTAACATATTTTAACCCAATCTTTGTGACACCACAAGCACCATTTCCCATAAAAGCCATTTCAATCATTCGAAAAACGCTTGGTGAAATCCATGGATCCGTTGCCTCATCCGCGACCAAGTTCAACAACTGGTCGTCTTCACCGACATCAACCAGAACCACCTGCAACGGGGAACGGGGAACCGGTGCCGAACCGGTCCCGAGAACAACACGGGAAGTGGAAAACGGCGGCGAAGTGACAGCCTTACAATTGGGGACTGAAGATCTAGCTATGTATATATATATATATATACATTATATATACCAGTTAGAGTAATGAGTGAGTGAGTGAGTGAGTGAGTGATTGTTTGATTCATTGACTGATTGACTGATTGATTGATATGTACCAGTTCTATACCAGTTAAATACCAGCTGCCAGCTACGAGTATCATCTTCTCGTGGAGATGGGATCGAGCATCTTACAGGCAGTCCCAGAAAGTCCACTATAGAAATTGTCGTTTAAATGGATGCATCATGCAAAAACGAAAAAATGATCATTGCCATGCTTGATTACCGGTATACCCCATACTTGCTTCGTTGCTTTGATAATATTTGTACATGTAGCCCAACCAGTACAAAATGGCTAGTATCTCTCTTCTATCTTATGTTTGATTCATATGCTAAGAATTTTATTGGGCCTTTGTAGTCCAACCAATATCTCAGTATCTAAAATAGACCTGTTCTATCCTGTTCTACCCCATGTTTCATTCATATCATGCATATCCACAAAGAAAAAAGCACCTTGGAAAATAGTTGAAGCCATATTCAGCACATTTGGGGGTCGGTCGGGTGAGTCGCACCTCGTCCTCATCGATGGCGTCAGGCACCTTGAATAATGGGGATTTCATGGGATTTCATGGGGATTTTTCATGGGAAAATCATTGGAAATTCATAACTGTGTTCATAGTGGTGAATCATTGATGATCATGGATTCATTTTATGGGATATGATAACTATTATAACCATAGTATAACCCAATATATGGTATATCCATATACTAATCATGGGATATGGATAGTGGGATATAACCTCCCCAGTTTTTCACCCCCCCAGTATTTCATGGTCATCGCGCCTCGGCCGACTCCAGGTCATCTAGAGGGGCCTGGCCCACTGGATTCGTTGGGGGATCCACTGCAAGCCATCACAATCCACATAAGAACAGGGATGGAATATAAGATATATAAGGAAAGCACTTAAGACTTTTCTGTCACCATGTTTATTGCTTATATATGCTCATATGGTATCATATAGTCATACCCAAACTTTGTTGATGAAATCAATGGAGAGATGATACCGCAGACCAAAACAAAAGACTTGAGAGGTAAACGGAGTAAAGAATCATTGGTGGGTGGTGCCTAAAAAAACTGCAAGGGGCACAAACAGAGGTATGCAAAGAACCATTGGGGCTGATTCCAGTGATCATTCACTCATTTGCATTTTCCAATGGATGTTTCACCATGGAAATGCCCCTGCAACAATGAATCTATTACCAGATAGAAAAGTTTTTCCGTAATTCCCTGCAACTCTAACGATGATTTCTTTGTCTCTGTTTTGTGGACAATCGCTTGGAAACATTGCCCGTTTTACACGTGCCTTCCGGCAAACATGGCGCGCCCGTTTTACTTACATGTCCTGTGGGACGATTTTCGCGGCAAAACCTCTGTAAGTTTCATTCGGGGATGGCTAGAAGAGCCATGTTTGATGACACCATTTCGGGTATATCCCAGTTATCCATATTTATCCCAAATGAAATCTCAATATGCTCCATGGAACCATGTGAAATCCCATGAAATCCCATGAAATCCCATGAAATCCCAATCCCATGGAACTCCCACGGATGGCTTACCACCCCCAAGTCTTACCGTTCACCATTGCCTGCACCACTGAAGAAGGTGGTCGGGTTGAAGCAGCTGCCTGCCGTGATGAGTTCTCATCCCGATCCAGAACAGGGCCCCCGGGGCAACCAACAAAAATAGGATTTTAACCATGCCAACAATGTTGGTATTTCATGGTATTTCATAGTGGGATACCATGGGATTGGTTGATATATGTTGATACTGGGTAACCCTCTGGTAAACTAACATAGCTATGGAAAATCACCATTTGTAGTGAGTTTTCCCATTAAAAATGGTGATTGTCCATAGCTATGTTAAATTACCAAAGGGTAACCCTCTGGTTTTTGAACATAGCTATGCAAACAGTGACCATAAAAATATAGTTCGATGATTCATCTCCTTGAAGTTCGATGGTGATTTTCCATAGATCAAATCACCAGAGGGATCCAGAGGCTATGTGATGATATTATGTCATGTATACAATGTATACACATGACACCACCAACCAGAAATTTCAGAAATCACAAAAGCATGCCTTCGGCCTGACTCAACAATCTAATCAGACTGGGTTTTGGCCAAGGCACCAACAATACCATCTGTCTTGGCTCGCATTCGATTTAGACTCCGATGATCCAAAAATGGTCATAGTAATCCCCATCAAATTCCATCAACCCAATGATGTCGCGTCGAAATTCCTTGCAATTGGGGATGGTCATGTTCATCTTGGGCGGACCATCACAGAAAAAAAAAATAGGAACCTGCTTATTATCTGCATCTATCTATTCCAGGCTACAAAACTCAAGCCAATCTTCTTAGGAAATTTGGTGGCATACATCAGCGAATGGACCCAACTGGCATGACCTTCGCAGCTAGTGGCCATGGCCCATTCCAACGAAACATGCCCAGTATATGGACGTGCTCAACCGGCTCAACCAGCTCCAATCTGTTGACAAAAAGTCACTGGCTGCTACCCTCAATGGAGTTGTCCCCTTCAATGGGTTTTAATCCCATGTTTCCCACTCAAAGGACCCATGTTTGATGTCAAACCCTTGGGCATCCATTAAAGGGTTACTATGGTGAAGGGCTTCCTGCCCAAAGGACTTGGAGGTGGGCTCCATCTATGGCCACCTGTGTTTCTTGACCCCAAAAATTTAGGATGGTCGTTATACTCAAAATCATCACTCAAAGAAGGACTTACTTTTTGTTTGGAGTATTTTTAAACCTTTATTCAAATGGCCAATCTTGGATACCCAGCAAACACAGAAACTCTTTGAAGCGCTTATATAGGTTTACAATGTGCTTCATCAATGTGACAAAAATGAGTTACCCTCCGGGTGATCAAACATGGCTGGCTGGGAAATCTCTTGTATGATCCTAGAAACCATTAGAAACCTATATATATATTATACTATATATATTAATATATACATAAATTAAGATAATTAAGTTTATAGCTGGGAAAATTATCCATTGCTGGGATTTTCCAACACACCATACTGGAAGGTAGCACGAAAATCCCAGCTGCACCTCCGCCTCTTGGCTTCGCGCAGGCCTTTGGACTGCAGCCTGGCGAAGGTCTGGAACTGGAACTGGGAGGGAATCGGTTTCCCAATCTAACATGAGGATCAACATGTTGCCAAATTTATATTCTAAGTATATGACTGGACAACAAGAGGATCAAACATGCTAAATTTTTGGAATTGTCCCTCGAGTGAAATGTTCCACGCTTTTTGTTTGGTGACTTGAACGATCGGTGAAATGGTGACTTGATCATCAAAAATTGGGGTGTCTTACCATCAACAATGAATCCATCATGATAACGCAGTTCCACGAAAAGCGGTGATTAAACACCAAAACAACTAAAATGGAGATAGAAACATGGGCCAAAAAAAACATCAACGTGAGTAAACTATCCAAAAATTCGGGCTTAAATCCATATTGGATGGATTAATCCCGCTGATGTTTTTCCATGTATCATCTGCATTTTAGTTCACGGTTCATGGAATTGGGACTTCGCCACTAACAATTGGGCTTGATAGCTTCTCTTGAAATCCAACAGTCCAATAGGTTTATCTGGACACTTTCGTCCAGTTCCATGCCTGACTTAAGTCAAACAATCCATGGTTTCGCAAAATATCAGCAATCATTGTGTTGTGTTTTAAATAACAAATAAATCTATTTCGGGATATCTCTACCAAAATTAAAACACCATAGGTCATGCAATTCTTTAGCCGTTTGAGGCACAAAATAATCCACTGAGATGGGGGACATATTTGGGACCATACATTGGGGCTGCTTCTTGGGATGGATTTTCTTTACCCAGAATTCAAGGATAGGATATAACATATTATAACATGTTATAACATGATATGTTTCCCGCAGTCTGACCTACTGCCACTGATCTTTCTGGCATCCCTCAAAGTGTTTTCCTGATGACAGCATCGGCCTCCACTGGCTCAACAGTGGGCGCCAACTTGATTTTCACCTGCCCAAAGGCACCAAAAAACGGCACCCTGTGGTTTCACCGTGACCGTTTTTCTTGGTGTTGAGAGAGGTTGCTGTAAGGTGGGTGTTTTTTCGAAAATGGATTTGACCCTCGAATGAACATTTTAGTAGTGAAAATGATCAAAAACCATGATAAACTATCAAATTACGGGATACCATATGTTCATATTTTTTCAGACAAACCCAGGTCGATGTATTGTTTTGTTTTATTGTGAGGACCCAGTGATCCTTCAACTTGGTTTAATGTCTGGTACCAGGCCCACCAAATGCAGGCAATTTTTTGGCGCAAGTGCGCCAAGTTGGCAATGGAAAATCCTGCGCATGTGAGTAATTTGTCATGGACAACATAATATTTTTGCAGTATTAGGTTTTACCGAAGAGTAATTGAAATCCGAAAATCAAAAAGGAAAACCTTTTCCTAATCAGGACGTTCCCAAGAATCTAAAACCTGATTTGTTCATCAAATTGATGGTTTCAGACGAACCTCAAATGCAGGGAAATTCAGCATGAAATGACTGTGGTCGGTTTTTCCACATCCAATCATTGCCGCTTCAAAACCATTGCATGCATCAAAAAACATCCATGCCGATGGAAACTCCCACAAAAAATTGAGCACAAAAATGATGATACGAGTACCTGCCACCCAGAATGGTGTATATTGGTTGCCAATATTCCTTTATGGCCCTGATCTGAAACATAGGGTACCTCGTCCACTGGTTCACCACCATTGTCCCTATTGAAGTTGCATATGGCCATGGGGCATCCACCGCATCATGTTCAAAGCCATCGAATTGTGCTTGGTCATTTCAAAAATATTCTGTTCCATGAAAAATCCCACAGACAAAATATCATAACATATCTATAAATCCTTTCCTGTTCCATGAAAAATCCCACCAATATGTTTGGCTCCGTAAATTTCCCACTCTCTGGATCAGTGGTTTTTCGGTTTTCGGATCTCCCGTACCTTATCCTGCACCATCTGGATGGCTTGCGTTCGCGGGGGCATCGGCAACTCCTGGGCCATGTTAGCACTAAAAGATATGTCGAAACACCTCATCTTTGTTGTTTGATGATGTTTTATATGTGCATCTGTTGGTGTCTACATAGTTACGTAACTCGATGTACAGTAATATTTAATTATATATAATAGATTAATCTATTATGTGTATCAAAGCGAATCGCCCATACATATTGATTCAACCCATAGTTGCGCCATCAAATTCAACACCCCTACCTTTGTTGCATGACTCCCCGATATTCTAAAAATCCATCACGACCTCTCTGCTCCTGGAAAGTGCAAAGTCCCCATAGCAGGATGGCTAAAAATTGGGATGCCCAAGAATGGGATTTGCGTGAGCCAAAAAAAAAACTGATCCATGCCCAAATGGCTTGGTGCAGAAAAAGAGGCATCCCCCAAGATGGCAATGTTCATCGAAAATACGATGAAGCATCCAGAAAAGAATCAGCGAAAAAATGTGCTTTTCCCCATGTTTGACGCAAACCCAAATAGGTGTGTGTCTGGAAATGGGGTATACCTCCAAATCATTCCAAATCTAAGTCTTCATCATCAGTTTCCAACAAGTGACGATTTTGGATGATAAGAGGGGGGCATTGTCCATATTTTTCCCTCATTTTTTCCCCAAATCCTTTCTCCATGGATCCCCATGGTCCTCCAGCTCAGGAACGTCCATCTCGCTGTCCATCACCTGCTCCACCGTGCCCAAGAGACGATACCTCATGTCCTGTGGCCGCACGCTGGGCGGTGTCAAGCGCCACCAGTTTAGGTTTAGGGTAGCCCCAAATCCATTGGAACCAATGACTGTCGGAATCATCTGGAACCCATCCTGCACGATCAGAAAAACCCAAATGATTGTTTCCCATTTCTTGATTCTTGCCCACTTAAGAGAATATTCTGGTGTGTTCTGGGTACATCACCTATAGAAATGATTGACAAAAATCCAGCCATGGTTCTTCAAAGGCCTAGTTGGTTCCATAATGTCATACATAAATATGTATATATATATATATAATTATAATAAGGTTTTGGATCAGAGCTCCCCACGAAACGCCTGATCTGTCAAGCCTTAGCGGGCTCGGTGCTGTTGCCCGCGGGCCATCTACCTGGTGCACTTCTTGGTCCTGGGTGGATTGGGCCCTTGCAAGTGCTCTGTGGTTCTGGCCAAACCACATCACCATTGCTGTGCTCCCAGGCACGTAACCCTCTGGGCGGCCTTGGCGACCTTTGGTTCATGCCCATTTTGCTGCGGTTTTTTGCGGTGATCTTCCTCTCCTACGTGAACAACGGCGACATCTACCAGGCGGCGACGAGACCGCAGACAAAGAGCATCTGCTCGCTTTCGTTGGCATTGTCATCAGAAAGGACTTGTGCTGCTGTCGGCCTCGAGCCTGGCAAGATTGAAGAGGGTGCTTCAAAAGCATCATTCTCGCGATCCCTTGTTCATCGAGCAGATTGCAAGAACAATGGCAACATCGCAAGCAAAGGAGCCTTGGCGATGCCGGTGGTGTTACCGCTTGAACCGCATGGCGGCACATCGATGCGGCTCTTGCGACGAGTTGTGGCACCATTGTGTGGACAAGACGTACGTGCATGGAGGTCGTGGATCCGCGACCAATGCCCAGAAAGCTTCCTGGAGTTATACAGGATGGCAAGATCCAGCAGAAGATGGTCAGACCCAAAGGCGTCCCAAGTCACCGCGTGCGAAAAGTGCAGGGAAGAAATCCCCTCGCGGTGGTCGCCGAGGTCGGCCCAAAGCAGAGGCACTTGTCCCAACGTTAGATCCGCCGTGGAATGCAAAACATGCGACCACAACGCCTTCTACAGCCTCAAGTTCCTCCAATGCCCAGGCAGAGAGCCAGCTTCAGAACCTTGTCATGGAACTGAAGAAGCCACGAGAGACCCCGCTTTCAGCAGAAGAAATCGAGCAGTTGATCGAGGAGACAACTACGCCTGTGATCACGTCAAAGAATGTTCACTCGGCAGTCTCCAAGGTGGATCAGGCCAGAAGCAAGCTTCAGACGGCCCAGAAAGCTCGCCAGAAGCTGCACGAGCAGTGGTCAGCATACTTGGAACAGAGTATCGCCAGGTGGCGTGGGTTTGCAGAAGACTTCAGCAGTCGCGACAAGGATCTCGAGGAGAAGGTGACGCAGGCTCGCGAGAAGTTGCAAGAGGCCAGAACATACTTGGACAAGGCCAAAGAGCTCCATTCGAAACAAGACAGAGTAGTGCTAGACAGCGCTCCAGAAATGATTTCGGATGGAGAAGAAGACGGCATGAAGATCGAGGCCGCCGAGGTCATCAGACAAGGCATCGACAGTGTCGTGACGAACTTGGAGAACATCAGAGTTCGTCCAGCAGAAGCACAGGACGACGAACCAGCTGCGGCGAAGAAACCCAGGGTGGGAGATTCTGGAAGAGCCTCTGCTGCGCTGCAGCCTTTTGGCAAGCCCGACAAGCCGACTTCTTGAAAGTGGATTGTCCTGGGCATGATTCCAGCCTGTGCTTCCGCAATTACTGTGATGTAATTTGGAATCACAGCATTTTGGATGAATCCATCTTCATCTCTCCATGGGCAGCGAGCATCTCGGCATTGGATCTCTCCTACGAAGTTGGGACGATCGCACAGTTTCCGAAGCTGGATGTTCGCTCTGGCGTGAAGAAGATGCAGTTTCACAGGGTGACTTTTTCTCCTATTGTCGAGTTCCTTGTGGGCGCGGACCTCGACTGGACGATGTCACCATGGCCACACAACATTGAAGTTTCACACAAGGAGGCGCCAGTCTTGTGTTCCCTTTCTAGACTTCGACCTCCCAATACAACTTTTGAATCTACAGAAGGAGATGAAGATGCAGATATTACTTCGATCCTTGCTGTTCATGCTGCTCATCATGTAGCTCCTGAGCATGTGGATATCATGAATGAGCCGGATATGGCGCGAGATCCAGCTCAAGACCAAGACGTAGAGATTCAGGTCAATGTGGAGACGGCCTCTGAGAGTTCCTGGTCTTCTGTTCAGGACATCTATGGAGAAAGTGATTGGCACACAACACTCATTTTCAGCATCGGCAAGGATGCGATCTCGAGAATCCTGGACTGGAATGATCACCAAGGGATGCATCAGAGTATTGCGGCAGCTCTTGAGGTTGATGTGGTTGACCTGTTTGTCTTTCATCATGTCTCAGTGCGTCCTCATGATCTTCATCAGGCTTTCGTGGAACCTGTGATTGCTCATCGCATCGGAGATGTTCCGCCTGGTTCCTCACAGCAATTGATTCTCATGGATGTAGAATTTCACTCCAGCATCCCTGACCTGATGCCTGAAGTTGTGAGAAGAGTTCAACTTGTGGCTCAACATCATTCCAGAGAACGACTGCTTCGACAATTAGGGTTGCTGCCGTTTTGCATGAGCGTTCAGCACTCTTGCCTGCTCTGGCTCAACAACGAGATTGTTCCCAGGAGCCAGGACAGGATTGTTTTTTCTCATGGTGATTACCTTCGAGTAGCGATTCCTCCTGGTACTGACAGAGTCGACCACGTGGCTACCAGGTGCCTCGCAAGTGCATATTACCAAGGTCTCTCAATGGAAGAGATCCTGGATCGACATGCTTTGCATTCAGTGGGTTGGTTGACGGAACTTGTTGAGCCACCTCATGTTCCACTTGAAATTCATTCCCTTCTCCAGCTTGGATCGTCAGTGCCTTCTTTGGATGACTGTCCACAATGTTTACGGAAAGATCAACATCGAATCCATGGACAACCGGTGAGGTCGCCCTATTGCGCGAGACTTGAAGATGATGATCCTCAAGGAGCTCCTCCACCAGAATGGCAGGTACCTACGGGCACCCCAGTTCTTCCTGGAGGGCAGCCACTTCCTCAACCGATTCAAGATTTGGTCATGATCCGTCTTCATTTGCTTGCTGGACAAGATGAAGAACAAGCACCCAATTTTGTTCTCTTCACATGGTTTTTGGACCAACATCATCAACCAGTTTGTCATGATGGACGTGATGTTGAACTTCCTGGAACTGATCCGACCATTTGGCTTCAACGCATCGAAGAAGCATGGCAAGATATGATAGATCCTGCTTTGCCAGTACATGTGCATATTGTTAGGCCACTTCCTCATCCAACAATACATGAACGTCAGAGAAAGCCTCATGTCATTCTGACGCAACGTACGCCTGTGGAACACTATGCCAACTTGGTTACCATGATTGACACCGACAACCATGTACAACCTTTGAGGCATCGTGCTGCCTTTGGACCCCTCCTGATGAACAAAGCCCAGATCATCTCAGTTGCTGACCTGGACAGGACATGTTTTCCTGAACGCAGTCCGTTGCAATGCATGATTTGGCATGGTGACACAGAAATTCGAGCAAGACTGGCTATACGGAATCGCCATGGACTTGCCTTCGTGATTGTGATCAACCGAGTTTTTGTCCCACCTTCGCAAGATCCTTGGGAGGATGAATTTGAGGATGCAGTGTTCTTTCAGCTTGGGCATCAAGTGATTTCTCAGAAGGAAGGTCATGTCATCGGCTTGATCGCAGGCAATCCTTCGTTACCACTACCGACATATGTTGAAATCCTTGGCCCTGTCACTGATCACTCACTTTGCCAAGAACTTCGACATTGGGGTCATCATGGACCAGCTTTTCTCTTCGGTGAGCATGACAAGGCGGTTGTGTTTGCGCCCAGTTTCTTTGACAGTGATGAAGGCTATCATTACATTCTGCACAATGAAGATACTACAGATGAAAATGGTGCCTTCTTGCACTCATCGCCGATTCCTTTGTCTTCGCTGGAGATCATGCAGTTTCTCTACAAGCTGGATTATTGGCGGGCAGTAGTGCTCAAATTTGAGTGTCTCAACAGGAACCTGTTTCGCATTGCTTTCAAGAATCAATGTGTTCAAGTACAACCTTCGACTTTGAAGAGCAGGCCCAACACACCGTGGCCTGAACTACAACCTCATGGAGCGTCTGGAGATGGTTACTATGTCATGGACCAGAACGCGCCCACAGCTCAAAAGCCGGACCATTTCATTGATTTTGGTCTTGGCGATGCGGACTTCATGAATCTCTTTTCATCACATCATCATGTTCTTAGCCGAGACTGTACGGGCATGGAGCTGCCTCAAGTCTGTCAGGACGTCTTGGGCATGTGTGATGACTCGATTGACTTCAAAGACTTTGATCGTCTCGTGATTTATTGCGATGGCTCCTCCGTCAACACGCACAAGTACAAGTCGCCACTTCAAGCGGAAGAGGAAGGAGGAGGAGACACTTGGGCGTTTTTGGTATTGGGAGAGCGCTATGACCCCCCAGGTTTGCAATGCCTGGGATGGACGGCGCAACCAACGCATTATCATCATGAAAGCCCCTTCCATTTGGGGTCTGACAGAGTCGGAGCAGATCTTGCGGAAAAGGAAGCTTTAGCATGGTCGGCGCTCTGGCGGTTGAGTTTGAATTCCAAAATCCCTACATGCTTTCGATCTGATTCACAGACCTCGCTTGGTCAAGCGCAAGGCACCTTGGGTTGCCATGCCAACGCAGAGCTCTTTGCCTTTTTGAGGGGTGTGTTTCAGGCGTTGGAATCCTTCTTACCAGGAGAACAGCTCCACCTCAGTCATGTGGCTGGACATGCTGGAGAAGGATGGAATGAAATGTGTGACTGGCTAGCCTCAGAAGAAAGAAGGAAAAGTTTCCTTTTTCCACGTCCTTCATTGGACATGTCCGCTTGGAAAAAGGCAATGCCACATCTATGGATGATGCTTAGCACCAACGATGGTCTTCCTCCTAGACATGGTCCAGGACTTTGGGTCCCACCACCAGAACTTCCAGGTGCACTTGAGAATGCTACAGTTCCTGATGAAGCACTTCCACAAATGCATGACCAAGTCAGTTTCAATATCAGTTTTTGCACTGCGAATGTGAACTCCCTACATCGTGCCCCTGATGGCCATGCAGGAAAAGTGCAATACCTTCGACGTCAGTTCAAACAACTTTGCTTGATTTTCCTCGGTCTTCAAGAAACCCGGAGTCCTGAATTTTCATCTTGTGTGGATGGAGTATTGAGACTGGCGGGAGGATGCTCTGGACATCAACAAGGTGTAGAGTTGTGGGTCAATCTTTCTCAACCATATGCGCATGTAGGTGGTGCTCCAGTCTACTTTCATCGAGAAGATTTCAGAGTAGTTGTCAAGAGCTCAAGGATTCTGCTGGTGAGAGGCGATAGCGCTTATTGGAGCGGCTGGATCCTTGTCGGATATGCTCCTCACAGCGGTCTCTCTCTCGACGTTAAAGAAGCGTTTTGGAATGATCTGAAGGCAGCAGTCGCTCCTTGTGGACCTGGAGATCACATTTTTGCATTGCTTGATGCGAACGCATCTCCAGGCGAATATGATGGAGTTTGCGTCTTTCGTGAAGGGCTTGCCTCCTCCTCGAGCACGAGATTTCTTCGAGACTTCTTGGAGACTCATGAACTTTGTTTGCCTTGCACCAGTGATGTACATGTTGGCGAACTGACGTCGTGGGTTTCCCCTGATGGGCAACGTGATCACTGTATTGATTTCGTTGCGATCCCAAGAACTCTGCAAAGGAGATGCACCATCTCACAAGCTGTTCCTGAACTTGATCTTGGTCATGGAGATTGGGATCACATTGCAATGTGTGTTGAGCTGTCATGGGAAGAAACGCATTTGCGAAGAAAAGCTCAACAAGCTTTCACACTGCCATTTGATCCTTCTAGCATTGACAAGGACAAGGTCAAGCTGATCCTTCAGGACTATCAGCCCATGGATTGGTGTGCAGACGTCGAAAGCCATGTCCAACAATTCAATCAGCATGTTTTGGAAGGTCTTTCTTCTCATTGTCCCAGAGATCGTGACCGACCCAAGAAACACTACATTGATCCAAAGACTTGGGAGCTTCGCCGCATGAAGCTCAAACTCAAGAAGAAGCTTCAGGGCCTGAGAATTCGATCCCGTGATGAGAATAAGATTGTATTCTTCAAGGCTTGGAAAAATGTCCTTCAGTTGTCTTCAGAACCTCTTGAAGCTGAAAGGGTCTGGACTTACGCAAATTCTCTTTTGTGCCATGGTCTACGACTTGCAGCTGATCTTCGTCGAACAGCCATGCAGCTCAAGATGCTCCTGAAGAATGCCAAGAAGAATGAAATCAAGGAGGTGTTTGAGACAATGGATCCGAGAGCTTCTGCGTCTCACATTCTACACTCCATCAAGCCCATCTTGGGGCCTACCAATTTGAAGAAAATCAAAAGCGGCACATTGCCATTTCTCAAAAAGTCGAATGGCGAGCCTTGCACGTTGCCGAATGAAGCGCTTGAGGAATGGATCGCATTTTTCCAGAACATGGAGGGTGGTGTGAGCAAAAGCTACGGGGCCTGATTTCATTCACCCTTCCTTTTGCAGAGTTGCGCCGCATTGCTTAGCAAGAAAGATTTTCTGCCAGTTGATGAAAGTACTCACACATGGGCAGGAGTTCTTGGGTCACAAGGGCGGCTTCCTGCAGCCACTATGGAAAGGAAAAGGACCCATCGATGACCCAGCCTCTTTTAGGAGCATTCTCATCTCGAGTCACATTGGAAAAGCATTGCATCGAACGCTTCGCGAATCACAGTGCTCGATCTTCGAGACCTTCCTCCAGACCGAGCAAATCGGCGGGCGCAAGAAGGTTCCTGTCAATTTGGGTGTGCATATGTGTAGAGCGTTTATGAGGGCACACAAGGCTGCAGGTGACAGTGTCGGCATGATATACCTTGACTTGAAGGAAGCGTTTTATCGCATTGTTCGGCAGCTCGCCACCGGTGGCAATGCATCGGACGCTCTTCTTGCCAAAGTATGTGCTCGTTTTGGTCTTCCGGAGGGAGTTCTTCATGATCTTCATTGTCATTTATCTCAACCAGCTGCACTTTTGGATGCAGGACTTCCACAGCATGCGCGCAATGCAGTCCAAGCCCTACATGAGGACACTTTCTTCAGGGTGAAAGGACAGCGTGATTGCTGTCGCACGGAGCTCGGCACACGTCCGGGCGATTGCTATGCGGATGTCATCTTTTCCTACATTTGGTGCAGAATCCTGAAGCTCTTGCAGGGCGAGCTCCAACGTTTGGACATTGGAGAAGAGATCTGCACCGATGAGGGCATTCATGTTTGCGCTGATCGAGCACTCCCTGCTGGTGTGCCTCGGCCCTTTTTGGGTCCAACGTGGATGGACGACACATGCATCTGCGTTTCTTCATGCACTGCGATAGGGGTTGAGTCCAAGACCATTCATGCTGCCGGTCTCCTTCTGCAGTTTTGTGAACAGCATGCGCTTACTCCAAATCTACAGAAAGGCAAGACAGAAGTGCTCTTTGCATTTCAGGGCACCGGTAGCAGAAGTTTGAAAAAGAAATACTTTGGACCACAGTCCGATCAGTGCATGCACATCCTGGCCGAACATGGACTCAAAAAGATCCAAGTGGTTAGCAAGTATGCTCACCTAGGCTGCATGATGCATCACAAAAGCGACAACCGCCACGAAGCTCGAAAGCGAATAGCGATTGCCCAGCAGACCTTCACGCAGCATCAGCGTTATCTGCTGCGCAATCCGCAACTCAGTTTGAAGCGCAGGCGAGAGTTGTTCCACAGTTTAGTGATGAGCCGACTATGCTATGGAGCAGAATCATGGACCTTGAGTGACCAGAAAACAAAGGACTTTGTGCATGGTGCATTGATCAGACTTTTTCGGCGTTTGATCTTCAACCCATTGGACCAGCACATGACAGATGATCAGGTTCTTTCTGCCACAGGTCTGAATTCTCCGTCAGAAGTTCTTCGACTGGCCAGACTTCGTTATGTTGGCACGCTCTTCCAATGCCAAGGAGTTGTGCCATGGGGTTTGCTTAATGCTGATCAAGCGTGGCTGGTTTTGATCGAAGATGATATAAGATGGATGTGGACGCAGCTTCGTGATTCATGTAGTTTGCCGGATCCAGATGTCAATTTTCAGGCATGGCAGAATATCATTCAAAACCATCGTTCTTATTGGCGCAGACTTGTTCGTCGTGCAGGTGAACACGCATGCCGGCAACGAAGAAATCAGCAACTGGTGTGTGACTTCCACTGTCAGTTCATTGATACGCTCAAAGAGGTCAAAGCTGGTTTGGCTGAGACCGCAACAGCTATGTTCCATGAGCATGTGGTTGACACGCAGGAAATACATGCATGTATGGCCTGCAAAGAGCGATTTCGATCGAAGGGAGGTCTTGGTGCGCACAATTTCAAAAGATATCATCAAGTTTCTCCTGTCAGGCTGCTTTTCGATACCACCTGCTGCGGAGCATGTCTCAAAGAATATCACACTACCAACAAATTGAAGAGCCATCTCCTGCGTTCCTCCTTGTGCAGGCGCACTCTTTTAGGACAGCGCCTTCGAGTTGAGCCAGTGCCAGGAGCAGGTTCGTCTGATGATACTGCTCGATCTCGTGATCATGATGGACTTCTTCCTCCTCTTCAAGGTGAAGGTCCTGTCTTGCCGACAGGTCGAATGATTGACCTCTCTCCTTATGATTTGGAGCTTATTGAAGCCATCTACCTCAATATTGTGGAGAACGAGAGCGAGACGAGCAGTGAAGATGTTGTTCGCTTTGTCATTGAGAATCATGTCATCTCGTGGACAAGATGCCGAGATACGCTCAAGCAGATGCTGGCTGAGCTGACATCTGATGACATTGAAATCCTGGCGGAGCACCGGAGAGATCTGCGAGATGTTTTGGAGCGTTTGCAACAGCCAGATGCATGGACCTTCCTTCAGGATACGGTGCGTGCCAAGAGTGGTGCTTTGCAAAGCGTTGAGCATTATGAAGCAGTTTTTGAACAACATCTGCACGATCACCATGATCCCATCTGGTCTATTCCTCGGCCCATGGGACGTGAAAGATTTATCATTCACGCGTTTTCAGGCCGACGTCGACCCGGGGATGTGCAGTTCTTCTTGGATGGTCTACAAGCACAACCTGATGGCACGAGCATCTTCACCATCTCTCTTGACGTGATCATCGATGAGGAGTTTGGAGATGTCTCTCGGGAATCTGTGCGTGACTTTTGGTTGCGCGGCATCCGAGAGAGAGCAGTCATCGGTATGCTTGCTGGCCCACCATGTGAGACGTGGTCGCAGGCGCGGGGGAAATCCTTAAGTTCTTCCTCCAATTTACTACACAGGAAAGCCCCTAGAATCATAAGGGATCGCACCTGTTTGTGGGGGAAAGCGGCCTTGGCCTTGCGTGAGCTAGAGCAGCTGCATCTTGGCAATCTTCTGCTGCTCTTCACCATTGAGATGCTCATCCATTTAGCTGTGCAAGGTGGCGTTGGGGCAATGGAGCATCCGGCCCCTCCAAATGATGAAGCGCTGGCAAGCGTGTGGCATCTTTTCATCATTCGCTATCTTTGCGCCTGGCCTGAGTTTCTGAGGATTGAATTAGCGCAGGGGCTGTGGGGCGCCACTAGCCCGAAGCCAACATCCCTGCTGTTGCTCAATTTGCCGAAAATGCCACAGGTGTTGAGGAGCTGGCAAGTGACCAAGTGTCTCCCTGGGGCCAAATCAATTGGGCAGAATGAGGACGGTTCGTGGAGAACCTCGCAGCTGAAGGAATACCCTCCAGCGTTATGCGCTGGCCTGGCACAAGGCCTTTTTGAAGCCATCAACGACCATAAAGTTGATTCGGCTCTCACCATGGACGGAAATTTCAGGGCACAGGCCATGAGACTTACAGTTTCATCTTATGGCTCTCATTTTGGACCTGATTTTGCTCCCCATGGTTGAGATTTTCTTTTTGCAGTTGAATTTGACCAGCTTTGCATTGGCCGCAGCGAGAGCTTCAGGTTGCCAAGAGCAAAAAATAATTATAATTAATTATATGCGTATACATATATATATACGTATATATACGTATACATATTTTTTTGTATCGCATTTTGATCCCACAAAATCCCACTCAATCCCCAATGAAAATTCCATTAAATCACCATTTTTGACGATTAAATTCCCCATATCTTTAAGCTTCAAAGTAACACGTCCCAGCCTGTGGCACGCGTTCGCTACGCAGGGCCGAGTCCAAAGCACCCATCACCTTTCGAGTGTTGTCGGCCAGCGTAGCGAAAGGTTTAGCTTGTTGAATGATGTCAATTCCCAGGGTGAGCCAAGGTAAACCAAGTAATGGTAAATTTTGATGTCAATTGATGGATAATTTTTGATGTCATTTGGGAATTACCTTGGTAAACCAATGGGAAATGATGTCAAATTGATGGATACAATCTTAATTAATGTTACATCAATTCCCAGTAAGCCAAGATATAGAAAACCAAGGTAACGCCAGTAAGATTACATCAATTCCCAGTAAAGCCAGTAATTCTCAGTTGGTGAGCTATGTCCTTTGCCATACAATGACATAAATGGGAAAGGCGGGTCATCTTTAGCAGCAATTTGGGGGTCCAATCATTGTTGAAGCCACATGAGATTTAAAGCTGTCACTAAGAAAGTCTGGATTTTTTCCAAATCTGAAGACTTGAAAGAATATGAAGAAATGGGCTCTCAAATGCTTGAAGCATGAACCTATGAAGAATATATATATATATAGTGATAGCCAATGAACATTTATGGTTTATGATACTGCTGTAGAAAAACTTCTGACGGACCCAGACCGCTCATTGGCACCCTCCATGGAGAATCCGGTAATGAATTTGGATGATATATCAAGATACGGGTGTGTCCAAAAAATGGTGACAGCCGAAACAATGCCATATCATGTGATTTCAATGTGGGACACATTCTGGTCAACAGATAGGTATTTTGGGGTACCCTTATTAGCAGACAAAGCCTAATATGCCCCTAAAAAAATAGCTTTGATTGCCTCACTTGTTGACTTGGGAAATGCCCAGCTCTTTCTGCAGCAGTCAGTGAACACTCAAAGGTATCACAGGGGAAGGGAAAGCTCTGAACGCATTTCAACGGGGCCCAAGAAGCTGCTGTCAGCATCAAAAACATTGATGAATTTTACATGAAACATACTAAAGCAACTCCAAATAAATAGTTTTTTTTTGTATATCATAATTAATCACAATTACCCTCTGGTGAACTAACATAGCAATGGAAAATCACCATTTTCAATGGGAAAATCCACTATTGCTATGGCCATTTTCAATAGCAAACTGTTAGTTCACCAGAGGGTATATCCCATTGCTCTTGCATCATTCCGCCACCTTGTTTCGCAACTGAGCCACTGAGGCCTTAGTTGTCCAAGCTTCACCGGGGTTTCCAGGGCTCCCATTCGAAGAAAATAACACGGACGGTCTTTCAATAGGCTACACAAAAAATCTGATGTTTCATCATAATCATCATAATCATCATCATCATCATCATCATAATCATCATCATCATCATCATAATCATCATCATCATCATCACCATCATCATCATCATAATCATCATCATCATAATCATAATCATCATCATCACCATCATCATCATCATAATCATCATCATCATCATCATCATAATCATCATCATCACCATCACCATCATCATCATCATCATCATCATAATAATCATCATCACCATCATCATCATCATAATCATAATCATCATCATCATCATCATCATCATCATCAGATTGATGGTTCAACCCCTCTGAAACATATAAGTCAGTTGGGATGATTATTCCCAATATATGGGAAAATAAAAAATGATCCAAACCACCAACCAGATAATCATCATAATCTTCTAGCATTGGGTAACATGGACAATCCGAAGATACCCAGCAGTTTTCGAACAGCCGGCTGTTAAGATTACCCATTGTTTTGCAAAAGATCAAAGTACCAAACTGCCCATCATTGCCCAGGGCCCAGTAAATATCCCGCTCATATCCAATATCCATAGCTGAAAAACATGCTGAAATCCCATGAAATGTTGCCTCATGGCGCGGTATATAAATCTCCACCATAAAATGATGCTTTTCAATATGTGGTAAACCCCAGGCCATAAACCATCCCCATACCATCGCCATGGGTGGTAAAAATGTTGGACCAAGATATCCTGTTGGACCCGGACCATGGACGGCGCCAAGGGCTCAAGGATTCTGGGCCTGGGGGCGGGATGATCAGTGCCTGGCCCCCACATTAGCAGTGAAGTGTGAGGCCTCTCGGCCTTAGACAAAAATATGATCCCTGCGATTTCTGTAGGTGCACTTCAAAGCCAGCCCTAGCGATCCACTTCAAATGTGCGATCCATCCATTTCTGGAGCTGCGAAATTGGGTGAGCACTTGTTCCAAAAAATTACTTTGGGTGAAGCACGAAGTGCTGGATTAGAGGCACCGAGTTAGGTAAATGTCATTAAATGGCCCTTCCAAACACACGGCTAACAAGAGTGTATGAGGGTGGTGGACACTGCTACTTAGCCAGCATTTTTTGTCCGACTTAGAGGCGCTCAGTCGTAATCCAACATGGAATTACAGGAGTTCTTCGGAATTCATGCCGTTCAGCAGGGCTGCACATCTGCAGTTTCCACCTACTTTTTTTCAGGGGATTATCTTCCCAGGCGCAAAGCAAAGCTTTGCATGGCTCGAACCAACATCCACCGACTACTTTGATAAGTGTCAAATCAAGTACTGCCCGAACCCACAGGTTTCGGTGTAATTTTGACTATGTCATAGTTACTGGCATGCCAATGTGTCAATGCACAACCTCCTAAATTAAAGGATTGTTTGATGCTCTTGAACATTGACCCGTAGTACCATGCTATCTCTGGTTATGTCCGCAGCTTCTGTAGGTCAAGTCATCTTTCATCTCTCATACAATGTGATTCAAATCACTATTTTGTTACTTGGGTCTGTTTCAAAATAATATGCCTCAAAACTTGATGGCTGATCATTACGTTTCCTCTTAAAACTGCTAGTTGCATGCTGTAAATATTACATAAATATCCCTTTTTGGTCATTTTCGCCCACAAAAACTGTACATCTTCCCCTCACCTCAGAGAAAGCCACACCTGCGCGGTCGCTTGCGCTGCGGCAAACCCGGGACGACTGGGGCGAAGTACACCTGTCGTCGGAGTCCAGGCTAGTGACGACATTCCTGAGATGATCCACCAACCTTCCTTGCAGACTTAGTCACACCCTTGTTCTTGATAGACTTATGTTCCCCAAAATATGTGTATATATATAATGCTGGATGGACAATAGTAAAGCGCGTGCAATAGCTACAAATAATTTTCAGAATCTGATTTTTCAGCCCCTATTGATTTTAAATTAGGCCTTATTGATTGTAAATTACAAACATCAACCTTGGTCCAGAGCATCTGCAATAAATGTGGTTCATTCGCAATAGCTACAAATAATTTTTCAGAAAATTCCCAAATTATCAGATTTTCCAATACTAAATTGTAAAGGAACTAATTGAGATTTAGTATGGATGCAGGAAAAAAAACTGAACCAGTTACAGTTCAGCTGTATTTTTCCCTTCTTCCTTAGTGTTTTTAGTTGTGGTTGAATGGTTTTAAATTGTGACTGCATGTTTTTCAAAAGCAAAAACAAAACAAACCTTTACCAAATCAAAAATTTTACCTTGTTCAAAAAGCTGTTTTGTTTGTTAAAATCCTTTTAAACAATTGCAAAAAACAGGTCCACAAAGGGTACCCCCTTGCAGGTCCTTGCATTTGCAATTAAAAACTGGAATTAGCACTTGCAATAAGAAACAACCTTCCTGGCTCTAGCAGGCATTTTTTCCCCTTCGTCCTTGGTGTTTTTAATTGTGGTTGAATGGTTTTAAATTGTGATTGCATGTTTTTCAAAAGCAAAAACAAAGCAAACCTTTACCAAAACAAAAATTTTACCGTGTTCAAAAAAACTGTTTTCTTTATTATTTTTCTCAAAAAATTGTAAAAAACAGGTCCACAAAGGGTACCCCCGTGCAGGTCCTTGCATTTGCAATTAAAAACTGGAATTAGCACTTGCAATAAGAAACAACCTTCCTGGCTCTAGCAGGTTTTTTTCCCTTCTTCCTTAGTGTTTTTAATTGTGGTTGAATGGTTTTAAATTGTGATTGCATGTTTTTCAAAAGCAAAAACAAAGCAAACCTTTACCAAATCAAAAATTTTACCTTGTTCAAAAAGCTGTTTTGTTTGTTAAAATCCTTTTAAACAATTGCAAAAAACAGGTCCACAAAGGGTACCCCCTTGCAGGTCCTTGCATTTGCAATTAAAAACTGGAATTAGCACTTGCAATAAGAAACAACCTTCCTGGCTCTAGCAGGCATTTTTTCCCTTCTTCCTATCAGAATCCAATGAAGATCCCATCAGAGCCCATCAGAAAAGAGAGGATTTGTCAAAACCTTACAGAAGCCTTTGGGGAAGAGTTGGGATTTTCGATTTACTATTGCAAAGCAGACCCCCCCTTAAAAAAAAAATTAGGGGGGGACCCCGTTTACTATTGTCCATCCAACATTATATATATATACATATATATATATATACATATATACATGTATGTATAGGCTCGTCCCAGCTCCTGGAACCACATACGATGGGGTGGGGGGTGGGGTGGGATGTTAACGTTCATGTGAATTAACGTTCATGTGAACTTGCAGAAGCAGTTGATGCTACGCACACGCGGGGTGGGGACAAGGACCCCTGGAAGACGCAGGGAGAGGTCCTCAAAGCTGTGCGAGACTTGCAGCTGCTGTGAAGAGACAAAAAAAACAAAACTGGTCTCACATGTTTCTGGGAAAGGTCCTCAAACACCGTGTTCATGTTCATACTAATGCTGATGATGATGATGATGATGTGATGATGATGATGATGATGATGATGATGATGACGATGACCCTAATGAAACTTGTCAATTCCGCAACTAAATTTCGTCACGGAATTGACAAGTTTTACCCACCTAATTCAGGTTTGCGCGGTTCCAAGAGCAGGGACGAGGCTATGTACATATATATATACATATATATATACATATATATATACATATATATATATACATATATATATACAGACATATATATACATATATACGTATATATATATATACATATATATATATATACATATATATATATGTATATACATATATATATATATATGTATGGACAATCCAAAAAATAGATAGAACATAAATAGATATATCTATGATGAGCCTATGGCCTATGGTCATCCCTACGTAATATTGGGATCAGGGATTCAAGGAGTCTTCCCCGAAACTATGAGGCCAGAAATTCTGGCCTTGTCAGCCAGGTCGGCCGATGGTCTGATGCGGTCCTCCGTGACACGCCAGCCGAAGCCTTTCATGCTCCCGTTCAACCTGAGAAATGGCGACCGGAAGTCCGAAGCAAATGCTCGCCCTACCAAAATAGCTGGCTAGATATGGATGTTCGGGCCCCCAAAAATGGAATTAGGGTTTGATCATGTTTGATCCATCCATTTTGCCCATGGCAGTGGTCGGGAGAGCTTGTTGCTATTAATGTTTAGTGGAGTTTGAGACTCAAGAAATCGATGATTTTTCACCGGCCTGAAGTTTGGATTTTACCATTAAGAATGGGGTCTCATACGACGATGTTTTTGTGGTCTGAGCCCTTGGTTGAAACAACATGTATCACAAGACTTGTGGTCTGGTCTTCCAGAACACTACCTGGTACAGAATATCATATCCGTCATATCTTTGCAGTTCATGATGTCATGTTCTTGATGTTTTTCCCCACCTGCCAGGTGAGGGTTGTTAGATTTTATGTCAGTTGCCTCCTCCTGCCTCCTCCTGCCTCCTGCCTCGTCCTCCTCCTCCTCCTCTCCTCCTCGTCCTCCTCGTCCTCCTTGTCATCCTTGTCGTCCTTGTCGTCTCGTCCTTGCTCAACTGCGACCCGCGATCCACAGTGTTCTCTGCCGGACCTCAACCACGACCAGCCACGCCCAGTGTTCCCTGCCGGACCTCAACCACGACCATCCACGCCCAGTGTTCCCTGCCGGACCTCAACCGCGAGTATCCACGCCAAGTGTTCCCTGCCGGACCTCATGTAGGAAGATATGGGACAAAGAATGTGCAGAAGAAAATTAGAAAGAATGTCAGAGAAGAATGTCAGAAGATATGCCAAGAGATGCCAAATAAGAATGCCAAAATGCAGAATATGCCAGAAGATATGAGATAGATATGCCAGAAGATATTCCAGAAGATATGCCAGAAGAATGCCAGATAATATGCCAGAAGATATGCCAGATAGAATGCCAGAAGATGCCAGAAGATTTGCCAGATAGAATGCCAGAAAATATATGCCAGATAGATATGTCAGAAGATATGCCAGAAGATATGCCAGAAGATATGCCAGAAGATATGTCAGAATATATGCCAGAAGATATGTCAGATAGAATGCCAGAAGATATGTCAGAATATATGCCAGATGCCAGATAGAATGCCAGATGCCAGAAGATATGTCAGATAGAATGCCAGAAGATATGCCAGATAGAATGCCAGAAGATTTGCCAGATAGAATGCCAGAAGATATGCCAGAAGATATGCCAGATCATATGCCAGAAGATATGCCAGATAGAATGCCAAATAGAATGTCAGAAGATATGTCAGATAGAATGCCAGAAGATTTGCCAGTAAGAAAATGTATAAATGTCATGGTGGGGATCACACGAAGTAAAGTAATTTGGAAACGATGAATCCCAAACGAGCAAATTTCGACAGGGTGGCTGCAAGTCACGGTCGTTGAAAGATACCTTCATAGAGCAGGCAGGATGACAAGTCAAAAACTCCTTCAACAACCTGGTTATACCGTCTATTGTAATGGGATAATATCTTAAGCCATGGGACTTTGGGGTACCCCACTCCCAAGGTACATAGCAGGCTGAGCTGACCATGAAAAGAGGCCCTGTTGGTCCATTGCTGTTTTTCAAGGATGCAACTTACACCATCTTACACCCAGATGTTCCATGATTTCCATGTGCAAATCAGTCTCAAAAGCATTCAACCACCAAAATTCGCTGGTTCCCTTTAGGGTCAATCTCGCATGTGATCCTCGTTCAGTTTTTACTGGTACTCAATTTTCAACATGTTGGTTCGATGTGACCAAATGACCTGTGTTCTTTGATTCCATGATAGCGGTTGGTTAATATAAATTCATTTGGATTATGAGGTTATATAATATGAATTCAAATGGATTGTGATAATGCAATGATAATCCCCCGTATATTGGGTAGTATAATTCCCTGTAATAACCAATGAAAGCAGCCACTGCTCAAACCAATCTCAACGATTTGCTGCCAAAAAACGGTCGTTCAACTGTCGGCTTGGGAGCCGCTGGCCGCGATGGATAGACCTTGCAGCTATCAACGCAGCAAGGGCATATGAAAATCCACTGAAAACATATGAAAACTATAGATATTTAGGAAACTCAAAGAAAAATCGAAAGTACCATCCGGGAAAAAAAAAATAGTAATAATTTGTGGCAAGTTACGTGTCTATCTTGGGGTTGCTATGCAGTATATCTACCATAAACCATTTAGCTATTCACCAACCTTGCGAGGTCAAAAAGCAAACGCTACTTTTGCGATCAAAATAGTTACCCTCTGGAAATTTAACGTAGCTATTGGAAATGACCATTTATAGTGGATTTTCCCATTAAAAATGGTGATTTTCCATAGTTATGTTAGTTTACCAGAGGGTAGTAGATATGGATGTTCATCCAAAAAAAAATGTAATTCTAAGTGCTGATCCATCCCCCTTGCATGTTGCAAATGCAGATGCCCATGTGACTTGAGCATCCAAGCTGGTGTCAATCACTTGGGGAGTCAAGGGTAACAAGTGAATGTGCCAAAGACTTGGGGACTGAAACAAAAAAACGCACTATTTGACATAGAAGGGCAAAGAAATTGTCTACACGACCATTTCGTGTGACTCTCAGTGGGTATAAATTTCAAGGATGCCGATTGGAGAATGATTTGACAAGACTGATGCAAACTGATGCAATATGCTAGCACTTTCCTAGTTACTCAAGGGTTGATCTTGTTGGAATTCGAGACAAAAAAACACACAGATCACCCCTGAAATATTCCTCCCCTACATTTCTGGCAAATGTGGCTAGGCTGGGGGGATACGAACCGATTTTTTCACCCTGAGCAGCCGCTCCAGTGTGGTTTCCTCTGCCGGAAAATACCTGAAGACTTGGCATCAAAGTCACGAACCAACCACCATGGGGGGAATAAAGAACCACGATTATGATATGCGATGGAACCAACCAGAGATCCAAAAATGCGAAAAATGTATTTGTATCTGTACATGAATCAACCAAAACCTTGGGAAAAATGCAATAGTCCAACAAAATCCATGATCTTTTGGTTGTTTCAACCCTATATATGTAAAAGAACATGCTGCGGCCATGGGGATCATCATTCTGTGGGGATCATCAGTCCATATCTTTTACTTTTACATTGTGCCCTGCCCCAAGAATCCCAACCAACCGAGAAAAAAATGGTCTCCAACAACCTTTGCATGTAGGGGCATTTATTCGCAGTGTCCAGAATATACCTCGTTTTTATCACTAGTGGCACATGGAACTTCATGATACATCTATGCGAACATTAAAAGCAAAAACTCAAACCAGAAACGCTTCGCCAGGTTCAACTACAAGCCGCTAAGGGATTTTAGTTTCTGTTCCCATTCATGTTCAGTACTTGGACGTCTTTCGAATATGGGTTTGTCTGAAAAATGGATACTCCAAATTGTTGATGGGTAATCACCATAGTTTTCCCCTTGTTTTAAGTAGCACTTTCTGGGTACTTTCCAGTTGTTTGAACAAACATATCCCAAAAAAACGGGACATACCCAACGCCACAAACCTCGATTGGGGATGGTTTATGGCATTGGGTTCAATACAATAAATCCCATATCACTATTGTTGATGGTTCATTCACCGTCTTCAACTAGGATCTTCATCAAATCCCGTCATCATTTCCATATGTTTTCCACATGATTTCCATACCGAATCCATAAACATCCCTATTGTTGATGGTTTTCATTCACTTCATTCACCATAGTTTCCCAGTTCTGATCTAAAAAAACATGGTACACATGGGGATTTTCCATCCGTTGGCTGCGCTCACCTCGCGCCCGGGCGCTTCAATCGTTTGGCCTGGAGGGCTTGGATGTGGAACCATTTAGTCACTGGTTGTAAGCCATATGTATGTATGTATGTATGTAATGTAATGTAATGTAATGTAATGTAATGTAATGTATGTATGTATGTATGTATGTATGTATG